GGACATCATGGGGAATGGAAGTGAGCATAGAAATCAATGAAATCTAATGACGCAGCCGCCGTGGTGGCCAAGTGGGGACAAAACAAACGGAATGCAGCAGCCAAGTGCTGTTCTAGAAAGAGATATAGGGAGCAGAAACGGTGTCATGAAAAATCTCAACCTAAACTTGCAAAGGGAAGAGCGTGGGGTGAGAGGTGGGGGGGTCACAGTGCAGAACTTCCCATCACACACGGGGAGACGGGGGGGTGGGGAATTGGGTCTTCCCTAATTCAGTCGTTTAAGAAATGGTGGCTTGGAAAAGCATCTGATGAATGGAAAGAGATCCTGCAGCTTAGTCGGAATGAGGACATCCATGAATGCTTCACACCAAAGGCCAGGGAAATTCGAAGAGCGGACAGCAGGAACAAGCCCATTCGCCCACCAGCAAGAACGGTCACAGCGTCCACAGGAACACGGGGGAAGGAGGCGTCTCGTGAAGCAAAACAAGCCAACGAGGGCCAGAGTCACGTGTTTCCTTCCATGAGGGGACCCTGGAAAGTCCAGAACAAAGGAGGATGGGGAGGACGGGGCCTGAGAGCCGCGAAGGTGGACGCGGAGGCGGACACCGCGCCAGAGAATCCCAGGAACCTGACGTCGATGGCGTCACGGACCCAACAAAAAGCAAGAACCCAGCCCGGCACATGTCTGATGGTACGTGAAAATCAGGTCTTCAGTGGTCTTCAGACCACTCTTCCTCAGTAAGAGACAAGCTCTGACGCACACAGAGACGGGCATTAGCAGAGAGTCACCAGAAAAAGACGAGCCACGCGGTGCAAAGACAGGCCTTAAGGAAGCATTCACAGGTCCTCAGTGGCTGGCCGCGCCCAGGTGGAGTCCTGCCCGCCGTCCGTGCTGCCCACGCGTCTTGATGTCCTCTGAAGCTTCCCTTGGGGTTTTTACGCTCCACAATCTGGGGCCATCGTCCTTCCTGGTGACCTTTATGGTCATCTGTATGCAGAGAGCTTGAAGGCCCAAGTCACCAGCCCACTCAGAGCCTTCTTCTGTGTCCTGGGCAGTCTGCCATGAGCACCTTGAGACCAAGCCGCCTCCTTCCTTCCAATCCTGTTCCCAAAGCCCAGGGGCCGTGCAGGACGCCCGCTCCTCACCCTCCACTCGGAGCGAGCCACCTCTCCCCAGGGCTGTCGAAGCCCAGAGCGCACCGTGGGCTGTACCCAGTCCCTTCGGTCGCTCCTCTCTGGACATCTTTATCTTTCTATCAGCCAAGGGCAAGTTTTCCCAGACTGAACCAAGTGAGTTCTCTGCTGAAGATCCTGTGGGGGTCCCTCTTTCACCCAAAAGACAAAACAAGCTTCATGCCCCCAAATTAAAACAGCATTACCAGCCGGGCACGGTGGCGCACACCTGTGATCCCAGCAGCTGGGGAGGCTGAGGCAGGAGGATAGAGTTCAAAGCCAGCCTCAGCAATGGCAAGGCACTAAGCAGCTCAGTGAGACCCTGTCTCTAAGTAAAATACAAAACTGGGCTGGGGATGGGGCTCAGTGGTCCAGTGCCCCTGAGTTCAATCCCTGGTACAAAAAAGAAAAGCAAGGCAGGCATTGCTTAAAGAGAGGAAAGAAAAACATCTAGATCCTTCCATCGTCATGGTCCAGACTGACTTGGAACATTGAGTCTGCATTCGCCCTTGGCCACGTCTCCCTTCAGTCATCCCCGTCTTAGCAGCTGAGAGCCGGGGCTTGTTCTCACTCAGATCAATGCCCTGTGGAGTGGCTGTGGTCCTCTCCTGTCCTGCGCACTAGGACTTAGGAGGAAGGGACATTCTCTGTTTGGTTTAACTATTATGTGGCAGAAGAAAAGGAAATGGCAGGATGCACGGGGACTTCCCTTGTCCACAGATCTCTTGCTGTCACACCTCATGGCTGAAGCCTCATGACAGTGGGCAGGGAGAGCAAGTCCTCTCACAGGGCAGGAGGCGGCCATTGGAGAGATACAGCCTGCTGCAGTCCACACTCCTGCTCATGTCTGTTCCCTCGGTTAGTCCATTTTCTAGTCCATTTTCTATTGCTATAACAAAATACCTGAGTCTGGCTTCTTATTAGGAAAAGAGGCCTATTCAGCTCACGGTTTTGTAGGCTGGAAGTCCAACACCAGGACGCCTTGTCTGCTCAGCCTCTGGTGAGGGCTCCCTTGGCTGGGTCACCACACGGCGGAGAGATGGAAGGGGACCTGGCTGACGCAGTAGAGGGCGGGCACTGGGGGTCTTGCTTCAGACCCACCTGCTCTGCTCACCTGTCCTGGGTACCTGCACGAGGCCCCACCTCTCCACGTCACCACACTGGGGACCGAGCTTCCACCACATGAACCTCCAGGGGACAGAGCAAGTCAAACCATAGCACGTCCCCGCAGCCCCCTGCAGGCACAGACACACCGTCCTCTCTCAGGAGATGACACTGAGCCCCGTCCAAGCCCAGATTTCAGGACCAGGGCCCAGAGGGTCATGGTGGACACCCGAGCAGCCGTGACTCCTCCCCACCCGGAGACAGGTGCACTGGAAGGACAGGTCCACATGTGGCTGGGGGCAGAGCCCAGGTGACCACAAGCCCGTTCCCCTCCAGCAAGCACAGAGTGGGGGGCACTGGCAGCGGAGCACCTGGGGGAGGAGTTTCCCTCGTAGATCCCACCCCTGCCTCCCTGAGGTCTGGGGTGCCCTTGTCCTGCCCCAGGGTCCCCGCCTCGTCCTCTGTGAGGCCAAACTTTCCGCCCACCTCCTCGTGCTCATCTGAAGGTGCCCTCCTGGGGCCTGCTCATGACGGGGCTGGGCTGCAGGTTTGGAAGGCGAAGATCACATGGGTGCCCCACCCACAGCTGTTCTGAGATCCATGCTGGGTTTCTGACAGCTCCTATCAGCTGAGGCTGAGAGCCGCATCCTCGATTATCTGAAGACCTCTCTCCAAACTCAGGAGCCACTTAACACATTCCGAGGCTTGGACAGAAAACACTTTGATTTGTTAAATCAGCCTGTTTTGTTATTAAAGAATCTCTCAGTTCTCTCTCTTACTAGCTAAAGATGAAAAGCACTAGCTTCTTCCAATCCTGCAAGACCAGGACGCCCAGGGCTCTGACTCCTGGTTCACACACCAGCCACTCTTTCTCATAGTGCGTGCAGTCAGAAGCCCAGGTTGCAGCTAGTCTAACTGCGTGTAAAGCATGCTGTTCCCCCAAGCTGCTCATCTGGAGCACAGCTCATTTCACGTCTCATTTCACGACCCTTGAAGTCATCCAGGCATACCTGCATGCATGTTTAGTGGCTACGGCTGTGGGTGGCCGGGACAGCATGTCCCCTCCCTTCCAGCTGCCCGGCCAGGACCAGTGTAGTGTTTTTGATGTGGACACCTGTCCCTTCTGGACGCCGGGTTCTGGATGGTTGATGTAGATCAACGAAGGGCCAAGGGGTGCTGAACTAGAAAACAGCCCCCAAGGGCACTTCTTCTGCATGTTGGGACTTCTTTATGGGAAAGCTGCAGGTCTTTAGCCCCGTTTTGAGACCCCAAAAGAAGGAACAGCCCTGTCTGGGCCTGTTGTTCTCATATCAGAGAGAGAACAAATAATAGAACCACACAATGGCCTTAAACCTTTTAATTACAAGACTTCTACTCACACTTTGTTGGCTGATAAAGTGACATGACAAACTTGATATAAATGGGGAGGGAAAGCATGATCCTCTCACTGAGAGGCACAGGACCTGACAGGGAATTCTGCACCTCCCCTTTTAGGGGAGGTCCTTCCTCATGAACACGGCTGTGAACTTGCGTTTTATCTGATAAGGATGTTGCAACAAGGTCCATACTTAGGTACTATAATAGTCCATTTTCCATTGCTATAACAAAATACCCAAGGCTGGGTAATTTGTAAAGAAAAGAAGTTTATTTGGCTTATGGTTCTGGGGCTGGGAATGGATGGTGCCAGTGTCTACTCCACTATGGCAAACGCCTCCTGGCAGATGTCATCACGATGGCCAGGGTGCGCAGAGAGATCACATGGAGAGACAGGAAATCGGGGTGACAGGGGTCAGTTCGACTCTTCTTTGACATCTTATTGTGTCCATCAGGTTTTCATCACTGCAACCAAAATACCTGGCAGGAGCAGCTCAGAGGGGGAAACGGCTATTTTGGGTCACAGTTCCAGAGATTTAGACCATGGTGGGCGACTCCGCTGCTCTGGGCCCCAGGGGAGGTAGCTCGTCATGGCGGAAGGGCACGGTGGAGGGAAACAGCTCAGCCCGTGGTGGCCAGGAAAGAAGCAGGGACCACAGGGAAATGCACCCTTGCAGAGCAAACCCCCAGGGACCCCCCTCTCCAGCCATGCCCTGCCCACAGTTACCAGTGGTCAGTCCACCCTGGGACGGACTGCTGAGGTCACACTCTTGCTATCCAGCCATTTCACCTCAGGTTCTCTGGGGATGCACCTCGTGTCCATGCCATGGCCCTGTAAGAACTGGCTGGTCCCACACACCACCGGCCCTTCCCAAGGCAGCACCGCAGTGACCTAAGGACCTCCCGCTAGACCCTCTGCTCAGGCTCCCCCACCTCTACCCTGCCACACGTGACCCTGGGGGACAGTCCACACCAGACTCAGCAGACTCAAGCAAGGCGGGATGTGCTGCTTTCTTGGAAGACAGTAGGTTTGGGAGGCACACGCCTTGTCTGGAGTGTGACAGTTCTAAAGCACAGAGACGCGGGATTGGCAGCAGGTGGCTGGCGGGCAGGGAGCCAGCCACAGGGGGCGCTTCACTCCAGGAGTCTAGCTTGAGAGGACGGACCTGTCCACTCCCTGCAGCTCAGTAAGGCCCTGTAAGGTCACTTATGCTTCGAGCCGAGCAGGATGGGACGCTGCCCAGCTGATGTCCTGAGGAGCCGGCCGGGTCTTCCCCATGGAGCCCAGGGCTCGCCCGCCGTGCCCAGCCTGTCCCGCCGGCCAGGACCTCACGCTCTCTCTTCCCGCAGTTCGACATGCAGAGGGTCACGCTGGAGGAGCTGAAGCACATTCTCTACCACGCCTTCCGGGACCACCTGACCATGAAGGACATTGAGAGCATCATCATCAACGAGGAGGAGAGCCTCAACGAGACCTCGGGGAACTGCCAGACGGAGTTTGAGGGAGGTAGGTGCCCGCCTTTGCCCCGTCCCCCTGGGTGGGCCAGCGCCCGCAGGCGCTCCTCGGTGCCGCAGCCTCCGGGGCCGAGGCCAGTGGGCACTACAGCTGGAGGCCCAGGACTGTGCTAAAGGTCTTTGCAAAGATTCAGGGGCCTTAGGACATTCTGTTCGTTTTCCCCAAACTCTGTGCTTTTGCAGAAGTCCCCTTGACCCTGTCTGCCCTTGTCCGGCCGAGTCAGCGAGGCCCGGTGGCTCTGTGGCCTTTGCATGGGGCGGCAGCAAGAGCTCACTAAGGAGGTCGGCAACGGAGGACCAAGGCGTTAGCTAATGGTGTGACCTTGGAGAGGGGCGTGCCCCCTCTGTGTCCTAGTCTGTGACTCAGGATAGTGACAGCTACTTCATGGGATCCCTGGGGATGGAAACCTGCTTCCCCAGAGCACGGACCAAACAAGAGCCCAAGGACACAGTGTTTCATGAGCTCAGCCAACTGACCACGGGAGAAATGGGCCTCTATGGAAGTCCAAAAAGAGGCCCAAGCTCCCATGGGCTGTTTTTCTTGGGCTCATGAAAGAAAACTTAAGGGGAAAGAAAAAGCCTCCCTTATCTCCAGTCAGCTGAGCACTTCCTCTCTCCCCAACTCTGACAATCCCACCTGTGCCACAGCCTCAAGGGACAGGGAGAAAAATTAATTAGATTCAAATCCCTTAACAGACGACTGAACGCTTAAACACGTCAGTGTTCACAGCTGGTCAGCTGTCCCGTGGACACCAGAGTGAGATTGGCCATCTGGACTTGATGCTGCCATAGAGACGGCCAAGCACTGTGGCTGGCAGTTCAGGCTGGGCTGGCCCAGTGGGGAGCAACACCTCTCCTAAGATCTATGATCTAAGTCCAGCTGAGGCCCAGCGGCTGCCTTGGTTTCCCTTCTGTGACAGCTGGGCTGCAGCAGCCATGATGTTTGGGGTTGGGGCCACACATATCCTACGGGGCACTGCCTTGTAGGTCACGGGGCTACCACTGCCAACACCACCCAGGCAGACCTTCAGGGAGGACGGAGGGCGGGACCATGGGGAGCACAGGGTTAGACTTTGGCCCCCCGTCCACCTGGCTCCCAACGGACTCTGGGTTCCCAGGATGGGAGCATCTGGGGCCCCAGCCCCCACTGTGAGGGACACTCTCCAGGTGGGCAGAAGGGGGCATTTCTGGGCGTCTCTTTTCCACAGAACTTTGTTTGTGGGTCAGTGTTTGGCTCTGGGAGACGCCGCAGCCGTGGTGACCTGGGGAAGGCCAGACCACACAGGAGAGCCACCTACACTCCAAGCAGTGCCTTCTTACCACGCATGTGGACTAAGTGCCCAGCAGAGGGGGCTTCCTACGGCAGCCCTGCGGTCTGGTCAGTGTCTAGCACACATGGCACCGGCTAGAGCTACCCTTGGAGGGGCGCATGCAGCACCAGGCACGCACTGGCTGAACGCCTTCATCTCATTCAGTGAAAGACCCCATTTTGCTAGTAGCTTCCCACCTGACCTCCAGGGCCACTGTTGCGTGTCTTCACATTCAAGAAACTTTTTAAAAATATGATGTCAGCACTGCCGGGCCTCATCTGCCTCCTGGTTTGTGTTTAGGGGTAGGAACCTTCTGGAGTGGGCACGGCTCAGTGGTGAGCTTGCCTAGTGCGAGTGAGGCCCGGGGTCCCCTGCCCAGAGCCCACCCCCCACCAAGTACAACAGAATTTCCTAGTCACAGGCATGGCTGGAATCACGGGTGCCCAGTTAGTGCCCGAGGGCCTCTCCACACGCAAGGCCCTTACATCTGTCCTTTAGGCAGAGGTGTCTACAAGGGATGAGCCCAGTCCTGTGGCCCCTCGCACCTTAGACAGAGGAAGCTGTGGGGGGCCTCGTGGCTAGCCTGGGCCTCCCTGCCTCCGTCCTGCTTCCACGCCTGTGTCCACAGCAGGCTCCTGGGCATGTGCACCCTCCCATGCTCCTATCCAGGCTTGATCTGCGCTGCCCTCGTCCCCTGGGGCCTTGCATCTCCCAGGCTGTCAATCATCCTGCTCTCTCTTGCCCCTGCCCAGCTGGGAGTCTTGTGCCACCACCTCAGCCGCACCCTCACTGAGACCCTCAGCTGCCGTGGTGTGGGCTCCGCCCCCAGGGCTACAGACAGGGAGCAGGTGGCTGAGGGTGGAGCCTTTCCTCAGAGTCAGACAGGTCAGGGATGTGAAGCAGGTCCCCGGCACAGCCCCCTGGCTCGGTCATAGTCACAGGTCATTTTCTGGGGCTCAGGCCCTCGGCGTCCCCATGCAGGTGGCAGGTCCTCATGCCGCTCAGTTTGGGTTTCACAGCCAGTGAATGGGGTTATGTCTGGCAGTTGGGCTGAAGTGCCACCCATGCGTGTGCATGTGAGCCCTCTCGGTGCCGTCCCTAAATGGAATACCAGCTGTCAGATTCTTCTAGACATTCTGAAAACAAAGCCATCAAACAGGAATAAATAGTTTCTGTGAGAGGGAGACAGGCCGAGCTGCCCGCACCATCCAGCACCCCCACCACCCCCACGATGCATGAGAAGACTGGCCCAGGAGAGCTCCAGCCGTGGGCCCTTCCCGCTCAGCGCCACCGCCCTGGGGCCCTGGAATGTCACTTCACCTCTCATGCAAAGCCTGGACAGCAGTGATGATCCAGACACCAAAGCATCCAGACTCCCTGGAAGGTCAGAAAGAATGAGGCTCCCGGATCAAGGTCTTCAGCTCAGTCACACTCCTGGGTGGCAAGACCTCCTGTCACCTGGCCAGGAACGGCAGGGATCTCATGTCCAGCCAAAGGAAAAGGGCACCATGTATCACCCTCACTGTATGCCCTCAGCCTGCCAGGCTGTGATGTTCCTGAAACCAGGCCCGTCTCCCTGGGGGACGGAGGAGCTTGATGCCCAGCTGAGGCCAGTGGCCACAGAGACAGGGGACAGTTTCCGAAGGGTCTGGGACTTCAGACAAAGGGGAACTTTCCTCCCTGGGGGACACTGACCAGCACCTTGCAGGCATTTTCTGTGGAATAAAGCAATTCCAAGACCCTGGGGAGAGGCTGGGCGTGTGTTTAATAAAGGTGCAAAAGCAGAGCTGGCCCACTCTGGCCCTGCATGGAGGACTGGCCTGGTGGATCCCCGCACCCTCCCTTCCCGGAGTCAGGCACCGGAATAAGTGCTGACAGCCTTGCTCTCGTCACTGGTGGAATGAAAACACGGCTGGGGAAGGGCTCCAGCTAGGCCAGGTAATGCTGCTCTGAGGTCAGGAGTGTGGGGACGCAGCCTCCTTGGAGCTGGAGAGGAGGGGAGGAGGCAGGAGCCGCTCCTGCCCGCAGACGAGGACCCTTTCCTCTTAGTGAGGCAGCACAGCGCAGGACCTCACCTGTGGCCTCCCTCACGGGCCACACCCTCCATGGCCACCTTCACCTGCTCCCTCCCGGGCCATACCCTCCATGGCCACCCTCAGGCCTTTGCTGGACACTGGCATCTGAACACTTCTGATGTCCTCAGGATACAAAAAATTCCTTTTCCACCTTATTTCTTTGTAAGTTCTGCTTCAGTCCATGGAAACGGCCAGCTGCCTGGACTCATCCAATGCTAGCCCTGGAGGGATGACAGCAGCCCAGTCCCCAGCCTAGTGGCTCTGGCTCACTGTAAGAATCCCCCGAGCTGCTGCTGTTTGGTTCTTTAATTCCCGAGCCTTCGGCGGATCTGCAGCAGGACTTGGAACCAGCTGCTGACATTCGAATCTGCCTCACTTGGGAGCCAGCACCTCTGAAGACACGCAGCCCCGTTTCCAAACACAGAGACTGAGGCTGGAGGGATCACAACCCCATTGCACCCGGGATGGCTTGGTGGGTCAGGGGTAGGGTGTACAGATCACAGTCTCCAGGAGAAGAGCCAGAGCCTCTGCCTGTCATTTGCCGAATGGAACAGTGTGAACTGCTGTTACAACACGAAGGGGAAAGACAGTCTGTCGTGAGCTTGCAACCTTGGTCCTGCCAACGCAGCCCCTGTCTGTAGGTGCAAGGAGCTCGTTAGCAAGTTCTCAGGAGTCGTTGGAAAACAGGACACCCACCTCTCTGTCCTCCTGCCTCAGCCTCCCCATTCCCATTTCCTCCCCAGATACCTCCCAGGCTCCACGATGTCGATTCTGTGCTGGAAGGAGCGCTCAGTACCTCCTGGGAGGAGAGGTGCAGAGCGGGTCTCCAGCAGTGGGAAGCTGCAGTAGGCTCTGGAAAGGAGCCTCCCTCCAAAGCCTAGGCCTCAAGTTACCAAGTGACCCAGGCTTGTCCCCCCGAGAATCCAAAGCCCGTACCCACGTGAAAACACAATATTCACAGCAGCCTCAGCCTCACTCATGATAGAACAAATGGATCTGCCCAAATGCCAGTGAGCTAAGGACTGGATGGGACGTGGTCTGTGGCACTGTGGGGCATCGTCTGTCAGCAATCAGAAACACCAGGGAAGGCCATGGGTCAGGGCGGAGCGCTGCCCAGCCTGCGCCAGGCCTGGGTTCAGGTCCAGCCCTGCAAATAGGAAAGGAGGAAGGGAAAAGTGACAAGAGACAACCTGCAGCCTCAGCTGAGGGACAGAGGCCAGTCTCCCATGTCACCTGGCGCAGGGGGACAGTGGGGACACAGAGGCAGAGCCTGGGTTACCTGTTGCTGAGGCAGGGCAGGGAGAGGGGAATGGATGCTGGTGTGGAGGGTTTTCTCTTTAGGGTGATCAGATGTCCTTGGTTGGGCACTGCTGTGGGCATACAGACTTGGCAGTGTGTAAAGCGGCCCTGGGTCATGTCCACCTGAAGGGTGAACTCAGGGTATGTGAGCTGTGTCTCAGCTTAAGGGATAAATCAGAGCTACACCATTCAGATAGTAAACGGAGCAGCCGGCAGTGTAGGTCAGTGGTGAGTGAGTGCCCAGCACGCGCGAAGCCCTGGCTTCCCTTCCCAGCACCCAGTAAAACAAAGTGAAAGGAGAAGACCTATGAGAGCCGGGTGCCACCATGAGGAGAGAAGGGGTCAAAGGGCGCCTCTAGCAGAGAGGAAGGGGACAGAGCTTGGGAACAGTGTCTGGCTCCCCTGTGGGGGACAGGGAGGAGACCTGCTCCTCTGGCACAGGGATGGCCGGGGAGGGCACTGGATGGGCTGGGAGCAGAGCAGAGACCCTGGCAGGAGGGAGCTGTGTCCCTCCATGTAGAGCGCAGGGTGGTGCGGATCAGGGCTCTGGAAAGCTGCATCCAGCTGCAGCTCAGGATGGATTAAGTAGGAGAACACGAGCCCTCAGGTGTAAGACCAAGCCCAGCGTTTCTCCAGCAAGCTAAGGTAACACACAGCTTTTGTGTGGATTAAATATTTGAAATAAATCTTTTGATGGCCAGAACAGTTATCATTAGCTCCTTTTACAGAGAGAGAGAGAGACTGAGGCTCAGAGAAGCTCGGGCTCTTGCTCAGGGCTCCCAAGTGGCCCTTGCCAAAGAAGCCAGGTCTTGGACTCACAGCTCATCCCGGGCTGACCTGTGGCTTCCTTGGGGAAATAAAGAACAGACACTAAAAGTAAATAAATAAGCCACAATACAGTGCAATGCACGTACCGGATGGCAGGCAGTGGGCCTTTGTTATCACCAAGGAACACGGACACCACGGTCTTACTACTGCCAACCACACCGGGGGCTGGAGTGTGTCTTCCTTGGAACTTTCTGTTACTAAACAGCATATCAAGACGTGAGGCTATTGGAATAATAGGAGCAGACCTGGGCTCTCACCACCTCATCATTTGCTGAGCGACCTTGGCCGCCACTTCTGGGAGCTCTAGGCTCCTCATCTGTCAGCTGGGGACAACACGCCCAGTGTACATGACCTCTGCCTCTAAGCACGACTGCACATAAAACAAACAAAAAGCAGAGAACGTAGCACCCAGCCCACAGAGGTGGGCGTTCTGTAGGAAACAGGAGGCTCATGGGTTTGCAGGGGGGAGTGAGCCTGCATCCGGCCTGGCGTGCCTCAGAGCCACCTCGCGTACTTCACAGCAGGGTGGGTTTTTGAACCCCATGTCACGGAGGAGGAAACCGAGACCTAGGGAGAGGAATGGCTCGAGGTCACACAGGGGGTGGGAGCATCATGACGGGGAAGCACCATGACCGGGGGAGCACCACCACGGGGGAGCACCACCACGGGGGAGCATCATGACGAGGGGAGCATCACCACAGGGGAGCA